AATACATTTTCTTTTCCACTTTTGTTCTGGTATTGTATTTTAATATTTGTCTATAATTGTCTATCAAAAAAAGTCAAAAACTGAAATGAAAAGTTTTCTTGGAAGACATTTTTATCAATCAGAAGTTAGCCCTTTGCCTTTCCCACCCCCTACCCTCCAACCAGGATTTTCTGAATCTGTTGTTGATTTAATTTCCATTCAAAACAAAAAGAAATAGTCAAACTTGTGATATTCCTTACCAAATAAAATCTGGTTCAGACAAGTAAGATTGTATGTAAATAAATAAAAATTTACAACTTCATAATTTTTTTCACACAATTCAGCATTGTTAAAAACCAAAGCAATAAAAAAGCTAAAGCATATACAAGTCAGCTTTCTAATCTGTCAACTCTGTTAGGGGGGGAAAAAAAAAAGTTATCAACATACAGAAAAATACTCACCGTTGCTATCAAATCCATGAGTAAACTCATGGCCAACAATTACTCCTATGGCACCATAGCTTAATGACCTGTAATGCAAAGATGCAGTTTCTTCAGAAAGTGTCCACACTCATGAGCATCGAAGGACAGAAGACAGAAGAATCAAACAGATTTCTCTCTCAGGAAAGATCATTATTTATTTAAACTGATGGTGGGGTCGGGAATGGGACTAAAAATCATACCTGCGCAATTTTGACAAAGTTGTTGAAAGTCTGAATGTTAAACTCCTGCTTGTTTCAAAACAATCTTTAATATAAAACTTTAAAAAGCATTGTGATGGTTCACCCATCTAACCAAATATGTTGTTAGCATCATTGGCACTCCAAAATGTCTCCTTCAGCTGACTGCATTGTGTGTATTCTAACTGCGAACAGGACCAAGTTATAGGTGAAATTATTCTCTTAGCGTCATCATGAAAAAAGAATATATCAAAGGCTGCAATAGGTTTCCGTAATGCCAGCTCCAATCATTCTTCACTGGCATGCAACAAACAGACTTGCAAATGACTGACTCTAGTTTGTAAAGCGTTAAAGAGATCTCCCTTCTGAGATCTGTTTTTAAAGAGGGGTCATACAATTTCCTTGCACCTGCCCAGGAACAGGACATGATCTACAGTCAGATCTAGCGCACCAGAGAAACAGACTAGAAAGAAATATTTTGTATTCCTGATTGATAATTAATTATATTTTCCTCATTGTAGCCAGATAAACATGCATCTGGGAGAAATAGGGATGAAAGAGGGAAAGGTTCAGGGCTTTTTTATATCAAATGCAGTGGATATCATGGGGGGGAAGTGATCCGCTAAACGCATCTTTCATTTGTGAAATTGTTCTTTGTGATTTTAATTATTTCAGTTATTGAGATGACATACTTCAAAGTAGCTTATAGTACTTCTAACACATTATATTGAAATAGGAGAAAGGAAGAGGGTTTTGAAGCAACATGTTATTATTGGACCTAATGATCCATAGCACACTAATTGCTCATCTCAGTCATGCCCAAAAAGTATTATATCATTTAATTCCCCTGCTCCCATGACAATTCTTCACTTTGTTTTTTTCTTTCCTGAAAGGTAATTTGCATGTGATAAAATCTTCCCTACTGTTTTTTTCCCCCCAAGTACTATTGCAAACCTTTACTAAAAAATGCTGGTTAAAATTATATATTTCAGCAATGGAAATATCATCTTTTCATGTGACAAATTTGTAATCTTGTGTAGCACACAGTGATAATTATCCATACTAAGTGTACTATATTAGACTTGTCTTCTAGATCTGAAGTGGTTATACAGGATCTTTTGCAGCTGGAGAAGTATAAAAAGAATGGCGCAAAACATTTAAAGAGGTCAAGAAGAACCAATAAAAGCCATATTACTAAATGCATCTGATTTTTCCTCTAAGGTTCTTGGTCACCGTGAGTGGCAGGGACAAAGAACAGGCTGATGCCCCAGCACTCCTAGGGCTTTCCCCAGCTCCAAAAGACTGGAAGTTTGGCCTTTGATTCTGTGAATCCCCTTTAGCATTTTGTCCAGCTCAACAACATTTTTGCCAGAAACGCTCCCAACTCTGTTCATGCTCTTCACTTCTGAGGCAGAGCTGGACAGAGGTGGAGGGGGTCAGGTGCAACCCAACAGGTACCATATTAGAGGGGAACTTTGTGGGACTGGGGAGGCTCAGAGAACTGTGAGGAAGCTACCAACTCAGGTGGTTTGAAGTCTATTTCAATATGTCTGGCATTGAAGACTCGTAACTATGAAAGGTGGCAGCTGAATAGTGTTCTGTTTCACATACTGAGATGTAAAGTGGTAACTTAGCTTTCCTTTATGCAAATAGGTGCAGCTGCTTTATGGTGGTTATGCTGGAACTGAACACTAAAATGCCACTAAATGTTAAATATTTGCTAAATAATTTTTTTCCAGCAAGTGCTGATGACTTTTTGATGATTTTTCTGTTCCAGTGCCATATACTGTTTCTTTTAAGCAGACAGAAGACAGATCCAGACTATTTCAAGGACAAAAGCAATCTGTTGTCTGCTATAAAACAGCTACATTTGTTTACTAAATTTCATTTTGATACGTACTCAAGCAAAACCAATTTAAGCTAAGGTAACCTTTAAAGAAGAGAAATGAGCAAAGTATAATTCTTTGAAAGAACCACGATTTTATCGCTGTGACAGAAGGTCAGGTTACAGAGAAATCACTTCAGAAAGCAAAGCTGGAAACAAGTCTACAATAACCACAGCAGAAAATAAGTTCACCTTAACAAAAAAAGGACTTTCTTCTCTCCCCAATTACCACTTAGAAAGTCACCTGGCTCATAAGAATTACCTTTGAATGCAAATTCATTTGTTCCTAAATTGAATGTGTCTCTCTGCATATATTGCCAAATTTCCTGTTTACAAGGACACATACAGATTGGAAGTTGGCAAACCCCAAATGTTTCAAATGTTTGATTCATTTTTTTTTTTAACAAAGATTTATTAAGGATACTTTTCACCAGTAACTGGCTTTATATAACTGCAAAATAACTTTCAGAAACTACTGTCAGAAACTTTTCATGGTCTTATCCTGCCCTAAAATAGAAAGCTATTGAATTGCACAAAAGCAGTAATTTTTCAAAATTAAATATATGTGACCTATAATTACTCTTCCTCAGCTATAGTAGCACATGGGCCTGCTCAGGCAATCACTTATGCACAGGGAGATATTCTCATCTACCTCAACAGGCACAGGCACAGGCCAACTGTTAATCTTAGATATTAGCAGAAAGTGAACAATAAACTGATAATAAATGGCTTCTCGGGGTATTCACTTCTGTTCAGGAAGTGTTAGTTACCTGATTTACAATTCCCTTTAATACCTGCCATGTGCACACTGCTGCATCTGCATGCTATAGCACTGAAACACTTCCACTCAGGTGCACTTAATTAGCAATTCCTGTGAGAAATCAGTCATCAGTTTAAGACAACACCAACACATACAGCTCCCAAGGGTAAGAAAAGTTATCGCACAAAGCAGCAGTTTTCAAAGTCTGGTTTTTCAAGAGTAAAAGCAGGACGTAGCAGGGAAGAACACACAATCCAAGGGCCAAGCTTTCCCT